AGATAGATAGATAGATAGATAGATAGATAGATAGATAGATAGATAGATAGATAGATAGATAGATAGATAGATAGATAGATAGATAGATAGATAGATAGATAGATAGATTTTTTTTTTTTTTTTTTTTTTTTTTTTTTTTACCAAGTTTCTTTGGTTTGGAGAGGTTCAGGTTGTCCATGATCTTCACAAACTCTTCCAAGGTCTTGGTCAAGCGGGGGTTGAACTTACGTTCCTCACCGACTGTAGAAACTGTCTGACCTGATGCACAAAACTGCAAACAGCTCAGTGCGGTTTTAAATATTTGACAATTTGTATGTCTGAGCAGTTTTTGTATGTCCATACATTTATATACAATATATCGACAAATACACTGCATGTGCAATGGCTTTGAAAGGGTAAAGTAGGACAATACATGATTCAATCCCAGTGTTTGAGTTTAGAATGCAAGCTAACAGTTTGTATACACTCGAGCGTGAGATAAGAAATGTGTGTGTGTCTTCAGCCAACCTAAGTAGTCATGTGCTGGATAGAGGAGGCACTCTTCAGGCAGAGACAGGATCTTCTCATGGACTGACTGGTAGAGCTTTGGAGCAGAACCTAAATATAAGAGACAAAGAACAAACTATTTACGATCATGCAGTCAAAATATTTGTATAAAACTTTTAACTTGTGTTAAAATCTGACTGTTCAGAAAAAGAAAGAAGTCTGCAGAAATGAGGCAGGTCTATCAAAAACAACGCAACACCGCCCTCTAACGTCCTGACCCTGCTCAATAATCCAGGTAAAGTCTAAGGTTGAGTCAGGTCCTCTGGACAGATTCTTCTTTGTTGAAACGTTTAGTCTTTTATCCAAAACAATTAATGAAACTGAAGAAGTCTTTTGGATAAAAGACTAAATGTTTAAACAAATAAGAATCCGTCCAGAAGACCCGACTCAACCTCGTTAGATCGCCCTCTTTTTATTTAGCACTTTTACAGTTTAAATTTGAAAGGAAAAAAAAAGAGGAAATGAATAAAAACATAGACCAGTTAAAATGTGTGTCTACCCTGCTGGAAGTCTGTTCTGCCGCAGCCTCTGATGAGCAGAGCGTCTCCGGTGAAAGCCATGCTCTGATCACACAACACCAGAGTTATACAGCCGTCAGTGTGTCCTGGCGTTTCTCTCACGCTCAGATGCTTCACATAAGAAAAGACAACAGTTAGTTGTACAACCTACGTGTGTTTTATCAAGTTCAGCTAAAACGAATCAGACGATTTACAAAACAATAAATACATAAATTAATAAAAACACAATACAGTTATGGAATAAAAGCAACTTAAGATAAGCTGAATTATTTGTACACTGATAAATCTCCATACAGGGCAGTGAAAAGATTTCACCCAACTTAAAATAAATAAACAAACAAACAAACGTTGCATTTTCATTTTCCTTACAAATTTTCCAAACTTGACCTCATCCCCCTCTGATAACTTGATATCCGCAGCAGCGCCACTGAATCTGGAGATGGCACTCTTTAATCCGTCGACTCTTTCCTTCATAAGCCCCGTGCTCGTTATGTGGTCTGCATGGCAGTGGGTGTTGACTACAAGAAACAAAAACAGAACAAAATGTAAACTTACAAAACTGTAGTTATTGTCATATTTTAAAATACTTTTTAAGTGAATCATTCTGAAAGACTGTGATCATATTTTCTTAATGTTAAAATACTTTAAGAAAAATTAATCCATTTCAGTGTATAATCATGAATATTTTAAAAAAGACAATAGTGCAGACAATAGTTAGTTATTTAATAAGGATGTGCACGTACATTAATCTGAAATCCAAAACTAAATGATAATCCGCTTCATCACGGCCTTTGACTCGGCGCCAGATAGGATGACAGACGACGGAAGCGACTGTAATTATCTAATTACTTCCTGGGATTTAGCTGAGTCACACTGACTTTGCCTTAAAACTGACAAGAACTATAAACTTTTATGATTCTAAAGAAACTATTTTGTTGCATCATGTACAAAGTGTACAAATATTGTGGGAATAATTGCTTTGAATTTGCCTTTTTCCCCCACTCCTATAATTTTGTGAATATCTATAGAAATTATTTGTGCAAACCATACGTTGTTTATTGCATATGTTGTTGTTTTAATTATAATGTTGTAATAATGTTTATTTATCTTCTTATGATTGATGTTAAACAAAATTAAATAAAACTAAACGGTACGGATTTTAGCCACTGCAGTGTGAAGTGAACCACTTGGATGTACATGAATGTATTGAAAAAGAAAATAAGCCAAATGCGATCCAGGATTTCCAAAAGGTTTTTAAATATCGCAGCATCGGGAACATAAATACCTGCAAACTGTAGCTTGAGCTCCAATTCCTCTAGAAGCTTCACATCTCTGTCGAGGGTCTCCAGCACAGGATCAATGATGACGGCCTCTTTGGTGCTTTTATCTGCCAGCAGGTATGTGTAGGTGCAGCTCTCCTTCTCAAACAGCTAAACAGGAAAAACAAGAGGACCAGGATGACTCTGCAAAAAAGCTGCCGCAGTTATCAACACGAAATGGGTCACGTTCTCCACGTCTTCCCCCTCATCATCCCTAGATTGCATCTTTGTGTAAGAGTGAGATGACAGTGGTTAAAAGAATAAGTGTTGCATTTTAAGTTTGCAGGATGTTAGAAAACTTGTGACGTGCATCAGTATTATTAAACATTCTAATAATAATAATATTGATAGAGATAAACCCACATTTCTCTCACTTCTGTTATCGCTACCATTCCAACCAGGTGCGTGTATCAAGGTCCAATATATTGAAGAAAAACATGTATGTATGGTACTTGAAATATAATGATCTACCATTTATTGAGCTCCTTTACAATAATGATACGACACTATTTTAATAAAAACATGCATTTTTATCATCTGTACTTAATATACTATATTAAACTATAATGTACTCCACTTGTTCATTGTCACAAAGCATCTGAACATCACAATGAATGGACAAACTCAGATGTTTCACACACATAGTTCTGCAAACTGTAAATCAGATTTAGCTGCAGAATTAGAGGCATTAAATTACTGAACTGTTTTGTGATTTAAAAAATAAATAAATTTTAAGTTGTAACTATTCACTGAATGTAAACAAACCGTGACGTATGGCCGCAAAGATGAGCGTGAATTATGTCAATGAGCTTTAATTTCTACAAAAACACGGTACATTAATCAAAGTCAGGCATGTTTTTGACTGGAATATTTAACCTCTCAAGTTCCGTTAACTGACCAGTAAATAGAAGTTTTACTTAATTGAACTATACAGTACGCTAACAGCTAACAACTTCCTGCTAAACTTAACCTGCTGTACCTGGAAGAAGTTTCCAGAACGTGATGACAACCACCCAGAAACAGAGTAAAAACTGCGTGGACCTACTTGTCTGAACAGCAGCCCGTCGGTCCTTGCCATCTTGGAACAGTGTCACCTTCTGGTGTTTACTCGTAGCGGTTCAGGGATGGACGTCACGCCGGGAGAGGAGCGTCTCCTCCGGGCTACAGCTGTGAGTCCAGCCCCGCCCCTTCGTGCTCCTCTTATAGAGCTAAGCCACGCCCTGATTATTATTACGTCATCTGAGAAAGGATACAGTACATCCAAGGGACCCCCTGGAGCCCAAAACATGCTGACTCACAACAACACCTGCTCTGCAAACGGCTGTGTCATTCCTGTTAAGGAGGTGGTGAATTCAATCTGTAGGTTAATAAGCTCTAGCTTTGTTGGAAAATATTTATAATTTACTGACCCAGTTACAGTGAACTAGGTGAAACTGAGGTAATAAAGCGAAAAACAGAAAACTAGCTAAAAGATTAAAGCAGAACACGAGTTTAAATATTGTCTGTAAGCTTCATATACAGATGCATGCTCATGGAGGTAGAAAAATCTAACAAAGTTAAGTCAGGTCCTCTGGACGGGTTCGAAAGAGAAAAATTGGAGAAACGTTTCGTCTTTCGTCCAGAAGACTTTGACTTCATCCCAAGTCTTTGGATTAAAAGACTTGGGATGAAAGACGAAACGTTTCTACATTTTTTTGTTTGTTTTTTGAACCTGTCCAGAGGACCTGGTTTAACTTTTATATATATATATATATATAATACTGAACAACTATCGACCAATCTCTAAACTCTGCATTCTCGCTAAGGTTTTAGAAAAATGGATAAACTCCCAAGTCAAGAAGTATTTGGATTCTTTTAACATCTTACCTCCCCATCAATATGGTTTCAGGAAACAATGCAGTACAACGACTGCTTCGCTGAAGTTTTTCCAATGATGCTGTTGAAGCACTGGATGCCAAGGATTATTGTGCTGCACTTTACTTAGACCTGTCTAAAGCTTTTGACACTGTGGACCCTGACATCTTATGTCATAAGCTTTTAGAAACTGGTTTCTCAGATCACATTGGCTGTTGCTCTAATTATCTCTCAGATTGGAGACAGTGTGTTCAAAATAATGATGCTTCCTCCAGTTATCTGTTTCATTGCTTCTGTTAACTGTTAACAATGGTGTACCGCAAGGTTCAGTCTTAGAACCTACCCTCTTCACTATGTACATAAGTAATCTAGGTCAGATCATTCCTGATGCATCCTTACATTTCTATGCCGACGACACAGTTGTTTATTATCCTGATGCATGCTCAATAATCCAGGTAGAAAAATATAAAAAAAAAAAAGTTAAATCTGGTCCTCTGGATATTAAAAAAACAAAAAACTTTTTTTTGTTTTGTTGTTGTTTTGCTTTGTTGTGTTTTTTGAATGTCCAGAGGACCAGATTAGAATTTTTAGACAGTTGTTTATTGTTGAGCTAAAACAGTCGCTAAGGTTTTTTCAGCTTTTACAGTCTGCATTCGACATCATTCAGTCAGATTTGTTCCGTCTTGTGCTAGATGCTGATAAAACCAAAGAGATGTTGTTTTCAAACAGGAAGTCGGTCCCAGCAGTACTTCCCTCAATTTTATCCTCGAACGGTGCTCCTACTGAGTTTGTCGATTCCTACAAATACTTGGGTATCTTGGTCAATTCACATCTCTCCTTTAAGCTTCATGTCAAAAACTTGGAAAAGAAATTGAAAGTAAAATTGGGTGTCTTTTTTAGAAATAGATCCTGTTTGACTCTGAATGCTAGGCAACACCTTGTAACTGCAACTTTCCTTCTCTCCATTGACTATGGTGACATTATTTACATGAACGCCCCCTGCAGATGTTGGACACTGTCTATCATGGTGCACTAAGATTCATAACTGGCTGTAACTACCGTAACCATCACTGCACCCTGTATTCACTGGTTAACTGGACATCATTAACCTCACGCAGACTCTTCCACTGGTACATTTTCATCTTTAAATCACTTCTCGGTTTGTTCCCTTCATACATCTCCTCCTACACGTCACTCCGTGAGTGCAGCTACAGCGTGCGCTCTCACGAGATACCGGTAATTACATGCCGTGTTCCCTCAGTGAGGACTGAACTAGGCAAAAAGTCCTTCTCCTACTTGACTTCTGATTCCTGGAACACCTTGCAAAAATATCTGAAGCTCTCGACCTTGACCTCTAAGGAATTTTAAAGAGCTGTTAAGTTCATGACAGAAACCAAGGCAGACACGTTCCTGATTTTAGTATTTTACACCGTTTTAAAATGTAGCTTTTTGTTTAGTTTTTATTTAATTTCTTCTATTTACTTTTCATTTATATGCTTTTTAATTACTAATTATTATACTAATTAAATGTCAAAAAGAGCAAAACACTTATTTCAGTTAAGGATTTTGCTCTTTTCAGCTTGTAGCTATTGTCGTTTAGTGCTTTAGCTAGAATCCAAAAATAGCACAATGCTAGCTAAAAGTAGCTGAATGTTAACGATAGCAAAGGCCTAGCTAACAGTAGCAGAGCAGTAGTTTAAAACTATAGGGAGCAAAAGGTTAGCTAAAAGTAGTGGAATGTTATCTAAAAGCTAAAGGTAGCAACAGGCTACCTAGACTTTTACTTAAAACCAGCGACATCTTAGCTAAAATGTTACATTTTAAATGCAATAGTGTCAAAATGCCAGCCAAAAGTGGCAGAGATGTAGCCAAAAGTAGCAAAAGGCTAAACAAAAGGCTTAAAAAAGAGCAAAGGTAAACAAAAAGAGTGCAAGTTAAAGCAGATCTCAGAGAACAATATTTTTGAAAGTAGATCTATGGAAAAATATTTTTATGTAAACATTTTAAGAAGAACAAAATCTCAAAGTATTCACAACTAGTTTGATTGCAAAACATAATTTACACAATTAAACTACAAAAATAGATAAATCATGAAACAAGATGTTGCCTTTACTATCTTGTAGCAGTTTAAAGATTGTCCACAGGAGAACCAGACGCTTTGGTTTACTTCACCAGTCTGTGTCAGGTCCAGCTGAGCTAAGGATTTACAGCGAGCCTGTTAGCACATATTACATCTTGTGACTGGCTCGGGACCAGAACACCAAATACCAAAAAAAAAAAACTATTGTGTACACTCAAATATTTAGATTGTTATAAATGGAGATAAATTCAATTTTTTTTTTATTTGTTTTAATGTTTCTAAAATCAATCTGAAGGCAGCAAGCCACAAAATAATACCATTTTACTAAAAGCAACTTTTGTAGTGTCACATTTTAAAAACAAAGATGCACAGAAAACACAGAGATCTTGAAAACCTTTATTCTACCTGGTCACAGCCTACGGTAAGTACTAAAGATCTGGAGAGGAAAGAAGTGTCTTGAACATTTATCCAAGTCAATAAATCAACAAATATCTGAAAATATGATGAAGAAAGCATGTTCATCACAAGATCAGTTTTAAATTCATCTGCTTCAGTTCTGCAGAGTCATTGTGAACAGCCAGTAACAGAAGACAAAAGGACCAAACATTAGTTTTTATGGGAAGCTCTAAAACGATATAATAAATACCGGTAGTAGTTTCCTTTTTCTCTTTGATGCACAGTAAAGTTTGTACACTTTTTTCCTAAACTTCAACACATTACCAAAACTAAATAATTAACTGTAGATTGAAATTTTAAAATAAAAACTTAAAACAATGTGAAACAAAACTTTTTTGAAAGCATTCTAGTAAAGATGAGTGATGAGAAAAAGCAGTGAGTTGCCCCAAAAGAAAAAAAACAAAACAATTTGAAACACTCAAAGTGCAGTAAAGTTTCCATCCATCCATTACCTTTACCCACTTCTTCCTTTTCAGGTCTTAGAGGTCACTGATGTCCATATTCAGCAGTCACTGTAGGTGGGGGACACCTGGACAGGTCTCCAGTCCATCACAGGGACACAGTCAACCATTCACTCTCTCACCCACACCTAGGGACAATTTAGTTACAAATCAGCCTAACATGCATGTTTTTGGTCAGTGGGAGGAAACTGGAGAAAACCCACACATGCACGGAGCAAACATGCAAACTCCACACAGAAAGTTTGATCTGGAGACCTCCTCGTTGAGAAGCAGCAGTTCTACCAACACCACCGTGAAGTTAAAAACAGTGGTCCCCGAGGAGCCTGGTAATCACCAAATCATGTGTCAAAGCAGGGAAACGGCTAAAACATGAAGGAAGGTGTTCCTCAACAAGGACCAGGGTTGATTTAAAAGATGATGATGTGGCTGAACAGTGTTTGAAAACTTCCACGGTTCTGCGAAACGTTTTAAATCTGAATGAGGAGTTTTATTTTTTTACCAAGACTGCTACCGTTTTCACTTGAATTCCAGTAAGCTGGCACTGGATCCTTGAGCTGTAGCTACCAATCACGTGCAGTTTTTTTGTGTGACAGAGAACTCCATACTCTCATGCAAATGTCCGTTCTGCCTCACAAACTGGTAGAACCTGAAAACACTGCAGCACAAGAAAATGATCGTTGCAATCTGAAAGCTTAACGACTTTCTTTTTCTTGTTCAGACTCACAAAGGAGCTGAAGCCTGGCGACAAAACGAAGGTACGAGAGCTCGAGTGTCTGACACAGGTCAAATTAAGGTCAACACGTCTGGAAGCCAGAAAGAAACAGTGAAAATATGCACAACGCATGTAAAAACAGGTTTGCACAGCTGAAATGGATTTTAGATCTATGTGCTGTAAACAGTCAAACTGAGGCAGTAAACCATCATGTCCCCCCCCCCACAAATTCCATAAATCAAAAGAACACAGCTGTACAGAGAAAATAATACGTTTAATTTAAGCACAATACAAAAAGTGATAAGGTTATTTTTATTTACAAGTCTATTAATACTCATTTTTATTACAAAATTAGACAAGTTATTTTCTTTAAAGCACAATGATTTGTCCCTTGAGCTACAAACAAACTGGTCAAACACGAGTAAAAACAAACAAACAAGCACTTTGTGATAAGCTGGTTGAGTTCATTATTATTATTTTTTAACAGATGCATGGACATGAAACTGATTTTGCCAGTGATATGGGATGTTGTCATCTGCAAGGCGCTCAGATTTCCTGTAATCCACAAACCAGATTAGCAGGCACTGCAATGTCTGCAAACAAAGGAACAAGGAAAATAAAGAAGTTACGCTGTAGAACAGTAAGTTTGTGTAGTGGTGTCATGGGCATGATATTTTACTGACAGGAACATCTCGTTATGTTTGACCAGATATGCTTTCATACCTATTTTATACGGCTTGCGGAGATTTAGGTTCTTCATGATCTTCACAAACTCCTCTTTGGTCTTTGTCAAGCGAGGGTTAAACTTGCGTTCCTCACCAATTGTGGAAACCGTCTGACCTGATGCACAAAAACAAAAAAACAAGCCAGTGGGACATTAGGGTCTCTGTGGACCTGTGAATATTTTTAACCAGAGAAATGAGCATAAATGACAACATTTGATTAATTGTTTGAGATTCTATAACAAATGTGCAGTATAATATGCATTTAATGACAACGATTGGATAGAAAATAACAGTAAAGACTAAAGTGTTTGAATTCTTAGCCAACCTAAATAGTCATGAGCTGGATAGACGAGGCACTCATCAGGCAGCGTGAAGATCTGCTTATGGATGGACTCGTACAGCTTTGTAGCAGAACCTGAATAAAGAGAACAAAAATTGCACAACTACAGAAAAGATAGTATGTTATAGACGTGTAAAGATTAACAACATCAAAAAAATCATTAATACTGAAGACTGTCTAAGAGGTGTGACACAAATACTGCAAAGGTTAAAAAAAAATAGGGGGAATTGGGGAAAACATTTTCAAACAGCAACTAAATACTGCCCCCTTGTGTTCGTTAGAAGTACAAAGATTTAAGATTTTATTGTGTGAATATGAAGCATTCACTCTATTTTTCGACATCTTTCTCATTCCACAAGTTTTGTGCCATTTCAGCAAATCATAAATCAAAACGTTCAGCTCTTTAAGGATAAACCTGCTATGACATTTGGTATTGGTGCAACTTTAGCTTTTTGAAATAGCCTTTCTGTCACTTTCTTTTCTCATAGAAAATTAATTGAGCTCATTTTACATCCTTCAGATGTTTAGATGTGTTTACAACCTTTTACTGCTCCTTTCACATTTTGTTCTGGTTCAGCTTCCTTGTGCAAATTTAAACTTTTTTCCAGCAAATTTCAGCCGTTTTGTGATTCTTTCTGCTAACTGGAACATTCTTGTGATTCGTCTAACTTGATTCTGCTAATTTCAGCTCGTTATGCTCCTTTCATCTTATTTATGCAAATTTATGCTTTTTATCTGTTTTATACTAATTTTAGCCTTTTCAGCTAATCCCACAATTTTTTTTTACACCAATTTCTACTTTTTTTCAGCCTAATTCAGCAAAATTGTTCCCTCTCCATGTCCATCTGGTAATTTAAGCTTCTTTCTGGGGTTTTTTTTTTGTTGCTATTTTTCAGCAGTTTAATTTTTTTTGTCCATTTCTGCATTTTTCAGACAATTTCCACTTTGTGCTCATTTCTGCATTTTTCAGACAATTTCCACTTTGTGCTCATTTCTGCTTATTTAAGCCTAATTGGGCAAACATGCTCTTTCTACTTTCTTCTGCTAATTTAAGCTAATTCTACCTTTTCAGCTACCTTTTTTTTTTAAAAACATTTTTTTTAGCAAATTTTTGATGTTTTCACAAAGTTTTTCCTTCTGGTAGTTTAAGCTCCTTTCTGCCTTTCAGCTACTTTTCAGACATTTTTTTTTGTTGCCAATTTCAGCCTTTTTTAATTTTTAGCTTATTTCCTAATTTTTGAGCTTATTTCTACTTAGTTAAACCTAATTCAACAGATGTGTGTTCTTTCTGCTTTCTTCTGCTAATTTAGGCTTGTTCTTCCATTTCAGCTATATTTCAGCATGTTTTTAGCTAATTTCAGCTGTTTCTCAGCAAGTTCTTCAGCAATACGCATTCACAATGCATTTTTGCAGGAAATGCAATTTCTCTAGTTATTATTATTATTATTCCAATGCTGCATTTCCCAGTCCTGAGCCTTAGGGCTCACTGTCTTGCATGTTTTAAACCTCTCCCTGCTTCAGTACATGTGACGTAAAATGATGAGTCAGACTTCTGCAGAACTTGACTAGCTGTTGAAATGAATCACGTCTTTGAATCAGCTGTGCAGCAGTAGGGAAACATGTAAAAAGATGCAGGACGGTGTGACCTGAGGAGCAGGGTTAGGAAATACTGATCTAAGGAATAAAAGCGTTGTTAACACAAAGATAAGTAAGAACATGTTCCTACCCTGCTGGAAGTCTGTTCTGCCGCAGCCTCTAATGAGCAGAGCATCGCCGGTGAAAGCCATGCTCTGATCCTCCAACACTAGTGTCGCACACCCATCAGTGTGTCCTGGTGTTCCTCTCACAGTCAGATACTGGACAAAAAAAAAAAGATCAATTCAAGGCAAAGTTTAGCTGAAAAGGAGCCAAAGTTTACTAAATAGATCTGTCCAAAATGTTTACAGACTGTACAAAAATGAAAGCTTGTCCAACATTTGACTCACAAATCTACACACAAGTTGACCAAAGTGATCCACCAAACCAAGAAAAATAATTTGAAAAAAAGCTTTGTTATTCTTACATGTTTACCAAAAGTGATCTTGTCCCCCTCGGAAAAATGGATATCTGCAGCTGCCCCACTGTACTTGGAGATGGCGCTCTTCAGGCCAGCCAGTCTTTTCTTCATCAACCCTGAGCTTGTTATGTGGTCTGCATGGCAGTGGGTGTTGACTAACAGAAAGAAAAGAAAAAGAATAAAGTATCGGTCAGCATGGAAAAGAGAAACAGAAGTTGGGCTTTTATTGTATAGGAATCTTGCAGCAACAGCACAATTATACCAGCTATGTAAGAGACACTAACCACTGTTGTGATTAATGACTTAAAATACACAAGTCTTGATACCAACATTAATGCCTGAATCAGATGAGCTGCAACTGTGTTGAGTAAGCATAAATATGTAGACAGGGTTGCCTTGAATGCATTGGATTGGTTGCCAAGACAGGTTTGATATATTTCTTAAAAGTTAGTAAATTTACAGCTAGAAATTATATTCTGTAGCCAAGCCAGGGGAGAATAGACACCTGCTACTTTAAGATCAAGACCCAGCTCCTTTATGATCTTCAGGTCTCTGTCGATCGTCTCCAGCACAGGATCGATGATGACGGCCTCCCTGGTTCCTGTGTCTGCAAGCAGGTAGGTGTAGGTGCAGCTCTCGATCTCGAACAGCTGAACAGGAAAAACGAGCAGAGGCATGACTTTGCAAAATAAGTACCAAGTTACAGACATGCAATAAGGGTCACGTACTTCACGTCCTTAATAGTCAGCCTTTGATGGCATATTTCTGTGTGCATGACAGAATTCAATCGTACTCATCTGCTCACACAGACTCGTGTTCGTGCTGCTGTTCGGCTTATCGTTTTGCACTATTAGTGTTTAGCTTATTTCTTATTTTAGTGTATTTCTTAGTTTATATCTTAGATCATTAGTAGGCCTGTCACGTAACAAATTTTGCTTGGCGATTAATTGTCTCAGAAATTATTGTGATAAACGATAATATCGTTTTAAATTTGACAATAATGAGTAATAATTGTCAAATTTAAGAAGAAATGTTGGTTAATTTGTGTGTGTAGTACCTTTTTTGACCACTGAATGACAGGATAAGACTGAACCCAAGGATGGATAGTGAGGGAGCGAGCAGCTTGGCTCTAAGAAAAATGGGAGGGAGGCTCCTTGATGGGACATGGGCTTTCTCCCTTTCCTTTTGGTTCTCAAAATAGCAAATGCTTGGTGCGGTTTGAGCTTTTTAGCATAGCGTTTGTCACACAAAGCTTTTAATATAAATTTTTTTAAAAATCAGTAAACATGATCTCAACTTCTTTTTGCAGAGAGAAATAACTTTTTAGACAAAGACACGGGTTTCAACCGTGAATTTTGGAGCTTCGACACGACGGAGAGGCCTTTTGTCATCCAGTGTCTTCAGTAGAAAGGGAGACACGAAGAAACGATAAAGCCGATAAATGAAAATGAGGTCAATAATTTTCATTTTTCATTCATTTACTTTATTTCAGACACAATATAAGATCCATATAGAAAACATAAAAAACAGCAAAAACACAGAATTAAAAAGTTTTTCTATATCTATATAAAGTTTTTCTTTTATCGTGCGATTGATTGATTTATTGTTTATTGCGACAGGCCTAATCATTAGTACTCACTTTTACAATTTATATTTTTCCTATTAATGGATGTAACTGGGACCATGTGCGCACAATTTCGTTCCACCTCATGCACCACATATGTGAACGACAATAAAGAACCTTGAGTTTGAGAATAATTGGATAATGATGTGGATCCACTGGTTTATTATAAGACAAAACAGATGCTTAAATAAAAGTTTTCTGTGTTAGCATGTGTGCTGTTTGTTTCACACACAAAAATAATAATAATAATAACAAACAGAATAATAAACAGATACTTGAACAGTTCTGTCAAACTGTGTGGCCAAAGGTGGTAATAAAAAAATAAACCTCATCTGTTTTCATGTTAAATTTTCGTTGCACAAAACTCGAGTCATTACGGGACTGCAAAGTCATCATGATTCAGTCAAAACTTTTTTAATTTAATTTTTTTAAAGCGGCCACACTCTCAACTTTACGGTAAAACAGACGGAGCAGATTTATCAAAACTACTGAGGGGAAACTCGTGAAAATAACCTTCGAGAATGAATAAAAAAAAAAACAGATTGCTCAATATTTTGGCAAACCAACCTCCGGTAACCTCCACTTCCTGTTGTAGGTAAAACATTTCCAAACGCTGTAACTTTTAACGTTGCGACATATTTACACACAGCGAGGTGACGTGATCCGAACCCACCTGTCTGAACAGCAGTCCTTCGGCTTTTTGCGTCCTGGAGCAGTACAACCGGCGGGTAACTGGTAGCGGCTCGATGAAGGAAGTGACGCCGGGAGAGAGGCGCCTACTCTGGGCTGCAGCGTAACTCGAGCCCTCGGTGTTCGCCTTGAGACGCAGCGACAGAGCCGCAGCTCTGTGAATTGGTTTTACTCTATTTAGAACCGAACACATTGTCACACGTAGCACCGCTGGCTCGGTTTGTGCTGAATATGTTCAAAACGGCGCCTGAGAGAGAAACTGCTAACGAGATATGCGCTTGTTTACCACCCGGCGTCTTCAAAACAACCTCTCTGGTTTGTTGAAACCCTCCGAACACCCGGCGTTAGCCACTTTTTACAGTGGCTCTAATAACTTAAGGACAATAATTTAAGTTACGAGCATCAAAATATGCGCCTTGCTCGGCTAGCTTCCTTCACTGGGTGTCGGAGCAAATAGCCGTCGCGAGCGGCTCTATTGAATTCGTAGGCGCGTTCACAAGATGCGCAGGCACAACACCGGAAGCGTACGTGACCTATGTGACATGCTGCGTTATAACACCCATTTATATACTCTGCTGGTATGCGCCACCCAGTCATTCACCCACACTTAAAACTGGGCTTGTAATTATCAATTAATTATTACAGGATCATTTAGCCTGCTTAAGACCTACATTTTGACTACACTTGTTAAAAAAAAATACTGTACACAACTCATGCTACTATTAAATGAACAAAAATATAAATTTTGCTCCCATTTTTAATGAGCTGACTTCAAAGATCTAAGACTTATTCTATGTACACAATAGAATTTTTTTTCTCTCTCAAAAATATTGTTCACAAATGTGTGGAAATCTCTGTTAGTAAGCACTTCTCATTTTCTGAGCTAATACATCCACCTCACAGGTTTGCCACATCAAGATGATGATTAGATACCATGATCATTTCACTTTGCCTTACTTAGGCTGTCCACAATAAAAGGCCACTCTAAAATGTGCAGTTTACTTTTACTGTCCAAATTTTACTGTAGAGTGGTCAGAAAACCAGTCGGTGTCTGGTGTGACCACCGTTTGCCTCGTGCAGTGCAACACATCTCATTCGCAAAGAGTTGATTGGGTTGTTGTGGCCTATGTTGGTCCTCTCCTCTTGTGGCTGTGCGAAGTTGCTGTCAGGAGCTGGAACACGCTGTCGTATACGTTGATCCAGAGCATCCCAAGCATGATCAGTGGGTGACACGTCCAGTGATTATGCTGGCCATACAGGAACTGTGATGTTTTCCGCCTCCAGGAATTGTGTACAGATCCTTGCAACATGGGGCCGTGCATTATGAAGTGATGGTCGTGGATGAACGGCACAACAAAGAGCCTAAGGATCTTGCCGCTGTATCTCTGTGCATTCATATGTCATCAGTAGAATACACCTATGTTTGTTCATAACATACCCCTGCCCATACCATAACCCCACCACCACCATGGGCCACTCGATTCACAACGTTGACATCAGCAAATCTCTCACCGTTACGACCTTGAATTTGTCCATTCAAGCCACAAAAATGCAAACATTTTTATTTGGTATAATTATTGATGATCCATAAATGATTTAAAAACAAAAAAGTCATTTATATCAAAAAGTATTCTAGTTTGATTATTGGCTTCTTACCAGACAATTCCTTTTCTTAATTTAAGTTTTTCTCTGTAGCATCACTAAATGTGAGATATAATCTAGATTGTTTTGTGAAATTGTTAAAACACTAAAGGGACAGTGCACATGGTTTGAGGTTTTTAGATGTAAGATTAATGTCAATTCATTGGATGAGTGTGCAATTTGTTTTGCCATGTCATTTACCACACATCAAAATCTATTAATATTTTAATATTACTTGATTCACTGGCTAAAAATTAAACAGATGAGCTGATTAAAGAACACATGAGAATATTTTTCTTTATTCTGTTGCCATTTCCTGTTGGTATCGAGGAAGTTGTTGATTATTAAGCTTTATCATATTTGACTTTGTGATAACACCAAGAACCACAAAAAGACAGATACACAGTTTCTTAATCTTTATTATATGTTATTTCAGTGAGAGGTCAAGTGTCAGTCGACAAGATCTCATTTCGTTTCCTACGATACTTCTGGGCTTTCCTGCAGAACACACCAAATAAGGTTTAAAGCATAGAAGCAATCCAGCATAGTCATATTTTTATGGCTTTCAAGGGTGAAATAAAATCCATCTGTAGAGTGTAAAATATGAACTTTGTGGCTACATAAAATATGATGAGATTCATGTTTTTGCCAACTACAGTACTCAATAGTTTATCGTAATGTGAAATTTACTTTTTATTTATTTTTTTATTTCAAGTAACACATGGGTCAAAAATGATCCGTCCAGCGTGGTTTACCTTTTGAACCGTCCATACTGGTAAATAAATGAGACAAGCTGTTGTCCAATTTATAATTTAAGTTAATCAAAATCTCACATCTTGTAAACTCTGTCCCCCAGGGTATTCTTTTATTCCATGCTCAGACATAATTAAATTTATTTGACACAAATGCAATACTCTGTTTATAGAATTGCACATTATTTGGGCAATTGTGATATTATTGACATCAGTTGCAATAAATTAACATTTTCTATTATCTCTTTTTTTTCTAGTGTGATTATGACGTTCACAACACTTTACCGTTGTATTATTATTAGCTTTAGCATTTCTCCTTAGTTCTTTTAAATTAGCTGCACAAATTTTGGATAGTGATATTAATAACATTTGGTTTGATTCTGCAATTTATCGCAGTACTTTGCCATACTGATACTGCACACTTCAATAAATTATACAACTGCCAATGAAGAAACAGGAAGAAAACAAAGAATAATAGAGTGACTCTACCTTTGTGTATTGTTCAACCCACTGGAGCAGCTCAGTTACTCTGCTGTAGACACCTGGTTTATCGGGCTGTGCACAGCCCTCCCCCCAACTCACGATCCCTGCCAGCCTCCAGTCCCCGTTTGATGTCTCACACACGAGGGGTCCACCACTGTCCCCCTTAAAACATCCAAACATTATAAATCAGAATGAAAGAAAAATACAAGCATGAGGATGTTTTTCAAAGACATTATAGCTGTATATACCTGGCAAGAGTCAACCCCCCCCAACATGCTGCCAGCACAAATCATCCGAGGAGTGATGTAGGCCCCGTAGACGGTCAGGCTGGAGCAGGTGGACTGAGCTATGACCCTGACCTGGGCCTGACGAAGCTGGTCTGTCACAGAACCTGCAGGAACAGAAAAAAAAAGGGGGGGAGGGGCGGTGTATAACACTATTTTATTATTTATACTAGACAACCGATACTCCCATCCAGACAAGGAGAGGCAAGTGTAAATTGTGATATTTTTTATTTTTCTAAAAGTGGGCGATAATGTTTGCCTTTGTGTTTTTGTGTGTGGTGGTGGTGATGGGGGGGGGGGGGGCATGTGGGTGTGTGTGCATGTTATCAAACTATCTCACGAGCGACTGGACAAATTTTAATGAAACTTGCAGAAAAAAAATCCTTTTACGTACTTTTTCAACTAGTTAACGTTTGGAGTCAACCCAATTCAAGATGGCTGCCATAACCAACTGACCTTCAAAAGCCCAGAAATGGCTACGACTCAGTCAATTTGTCATATGTTGACCTATAATTTGATGAGGCAGTACCTCCAAGCACTAAACATTTCAGAAGATCTGTGTTTAAAAGTTCAATGTCAAATTAACGCTGTTAGCAAAATATCTCATGAATAACAGCAGAGATATTATGAAGACGTTTAGGAAATAATCCCTGAGTGTACCTCTACAACTTTAGAGCCAATTCAGTTTAATATGGCAACCACAGCTAAGCAGCCTTAACTAACACAATACTGGCTTCATTTCAGTGAGTTTTCAGGTGTTGTGCTGAATGTGGATGGGTTGTAGCTACGAACGCATTATGCAAGATCTGTACTTCAAACTTTAGCAATAACTGTTGGGAGTCAGTCTGTTGGTTTGTTAAAATTACCTCATGGAGCACTGGATTCAATAAAACCTTTGGAAAATAAGCCTTCATATAATATACATTAAAAATAATTTCTCAACACAAGATGATCATAGTTTAGAACTCTGCCACGAAAGACGATATGTCTTTCCTCAGTTAATTATCGTAGTTTATTCAATTGCTGTTTTATTTTTGTTAGTAGGGAGGATTTAGGATGAGTTGTGAACTTTAATTTTCTTAAAGCACCGCCGTGTGTGATCCACCTCCTTCTTGAGTAAAGCCCCAACCCGTGATCCAACAGGATGCTGCCGAAGGAAAGGACTCGCTTGTTGTGGGTAAGCACACGGGGCGGACTCCACCTGCACACAGAGCATGTAATCAGAGCTGTAAACTGATAAGATCGACTTGCTCTTTTTAAGTTATGAAACAGATGCTTTTCCATTTTGTTCTTACTTTTTATACCAAAGTGCAGCAGACTTTCCCCTGTCCACTGGGAGCTGAGCCCCTTCAACATTTTAAACAATCATCTGTTTGATTTTTTTTATTATTATGGCAGTAAACTGTACTAAAACAGTGGACTCACTCTTCACTAACCCTCACCTTACAGGGTACAACAGCGCTATTTGTTTATTACAATCTTTTTTTACTCGCCTGCCAGGAACCTTGATCAGTTTTAATTTTAATTAAAAACTATCTAGCCAATGTCATAAAGAAATGACTGTAGGAAAATAATAAATTTTACTACCACTGACTGTGGAATTTATTAAGGAAAATCACATTTAATGTTCAAGCATGAGCCGTATCATTAAAAAGCAACAGATGAGAGGAACATCAAGCACACTAGATGTTTTATTTGATTTTAGAAGCCACTGTCTTTGGTAAAGCTTTAAATCTTTCTGGTTCTAACAGTGAATAAGCATGCTCCAGTCCATTTTATGTCACTGAACTTCTGCAGTATTTTCTTGAGCATTATTTAAGAGGTTCTAATTAGTTTCGTTCGCCTGGCTTTTATGATGAAATGTGAGAAAATGTCAGGAATCTGTTTATTTTTTTTTTTTTACTGAAAGAAAACCCCAAAATGAGTTTTTCCTCAACTGTGTCAGGAGATGGAGCCATCTCTCTTACCGCTCAGGTCCATGTCAGTGATGGTGCGCAGCAGCCCCACATCATAGTCATTGCTGTTGACGTTAAAGAGAGGGTGGTAGAGGATCTGCAGGGCTCGGTAGCGTTTCCCCGAGGTGCTGTGTGCGATGTTCGCTGTGCCCACCACCACCAGCCAGTCAGACACTTCGAACATGCTGTTCCTGCACGAATACAACACAACGCTTTGTGGTTTCACTTCAGTTCTATTAAAACCGTGATGACTGTTTTCAGAAAATCTCACCTTACAGGTCTCAACGGTGCTATTTGCTTGTTATAATCTTTTTGTTTCTCGCCTGCCGAAAACTTTGATGAGCGTTTTGATTCTGACTTAAAGTTTGACAAACAGCATAGACATGAAACACTC